GGATTTCGAAAAATTTTTTTTGGATTTCTAAATATTTTTTCGGATTCGCAAAATATCTTTGGATTTGTCAAACTTTTCGACAGTCTGTTCAAAATAAATATTGCGATTTGAAATATTTTTCGGGATTTGAAAAATATTTTTGGATTGTCCCTTTTCGGCTTCCCTATCAATGCGTTAGGTGTTCCTTTGCTCGGAATTATTGAACTGTTCTCAGCAAAAAGTTTCCATTTGTGATTTTTTTTATTTTATTATTTTTTATTTTTCAATGTGACAGTTTACTCGAAGTTTTAAGCTTTTTCTTCATGTTTTGTTCGGAGCATGTTTTCTTTGCCACTATCTTAGATATGGCTCTATGTAGACAGTAGATCTAGCTGACTTTGTCCCGGTGTGCTTAACATTTGCTTCGAGTTATTTTCGTTTAACAAACACTAACAAGTGAGTATAAAAGCATGCAGCTTTTTGACGATCGATTTCAAAGAGAAGTCCTAAAAGTTAAAGACAAGACAACACAAGGTTTATTTGAACTGTAAAATTACCTTAGTTACAAATTAATCGAGAAAAAAAAATGAAAAATACATACAGTGGCTGGTCACCCAAAATAACTAAAGTGCAAAACCAGTAAAGTAGTAGCATTTTAAAGAAACGGGTACCGCTTGTCCAGTGCTTTCAATAAGACCCGGCACCCGCCGGAGCTCCGGCGGGTATTCTGTTGTGAATCGCCCGGTATATTTCACCGCGCTCAAGTCACAGTCACCACGCTAAGTCGCAATCAAGTCTCTTTCCGGCGGGTGTTGTACCGAGGTAGCCACCTATTTCAAATCTTATTGAAAGCATTGCTTGTCTTGGGTGACCATGACAATGTCAATATAAAGGACAGTGAGGGTAAGGGTTGTTTGGGAGAGTATGGACTGAAAATCCGAATCTAACCAGAACAGTTATCATTAGGAAACTCTTTGAAGGGACCTAGCCTCCACTGAAAGCTGGGCTTTTTAAAAAACGACAAACACGTCAAGCTGAAGCTCCAACCTTACCAATGAAAACAGTTCGCAGCATAACAACGGAAAAAGGGGAAAACACAGGTAAAAAATCAGAAAGTTGCTGAAAAGGGGTTTTAATATTTATATCCAGAGGCGATAACAGCCTGTAAATTTTTCTCATCTAAAAGAGGATCTATGCAAGAGGTTGATTGTTTCATTTTTATAGGACTCGTCCATAAAACTAATAACCCCCAAGAATATTTTCATAAACTTCGAAAATCTCTTTAGAAATTAGTCGTGTGTCGAGAATCAACCTATTCCGGGGTCAATCTCTTTCAAAGTAAACGGGAAAAGCAAAAGCTAAGTAATGTTCATGTCGCGTTATCATCGGGCCATTCAACAAGGGCGTAGCTAGTGAGCGTGGCGGTTCCTGGGGTGCCCATGACCCCTCGGCCCTCCATTGTAACACAATTTGGTGAGTACACTCTGTTTGACATAGTGTGCCTCCCCCACCCTTTGGAAAACCCTGGTTACGCCCCTGTTCAAATATATCGTAAGAATGAAAAAGGAATCCATTTTCTTGCCCCGTTACGGCTCCATTAATCACTGTCATCAGTGCCTAAATGCAATCAGGTCGTTTATAATCCACTCTTCTCGTTCTCAAGCTAGAAGTTCCATGTAATCATCTTCTTCTTGGTTCTCCACTTGAACGGAATGCTGGTCCGCAGCTGATGTGGAACAAGGGCCAGCTGCGTTCACTTGATGTGATGGAGAGCCTGGTACTGATCTCAGTGTTTCATATAGATTAGTGCCTTTTGTTCCCGATGAGGTAGGAATTGCCTTAGCATTCGTCGCCAACCTACCATCATCAACAACATCGACATAATCAGCGTTATCTTCGCTTTCATTTCCATTGGGGTCCGAGCCTTGCTCGACCTGAGAAGGCCGAACCTCATGTGGGAGTCGATCTTGGAGCTGTAAATGTTCGTAGCGATTCACTTTTCCATTGCCATCATCCTTACTGTGTTCCACTCCTTTCGGTTTAATAGACTGATAACCGACAGCTCGAACTGATTTTCCAATTTCCTTCCTTTCTGCTTGTTGACTGAGCGGCTTTTCGAGTCCGTGTGCGAAAATGTCTCTGTACTCCTCAGACACCGGATCTATTACACATGACTGCAACCTCTGGTAAACATGCTGCTCCATCCCCCCCTGATTAGCGGTAGCCTCTTCAGAGATTTCTTTAGTACTTTTCCCTGTACTCGGGTCGGCAGGACTGTTTCCGTTTTTCTGGATTATTAAGTTGTTTTGTGTGATACTAGTAGACAATTCTGTACAAATTTCGTTGTCTATCCCCAAATTGTCTAACCTTGCTTGCGATCCAGTTCTTCTTGATAAGGTGCTCTGTTTTACGGCCGTCAAATGGCGTTTTTTCTTTCGTTTTCGTTTGCAGCACACGTAGTAGATCAAACAGATATTCACAAGGCAGGATAATCCAAGGAAAGATCCCAAGACTATCATGATGATCATAGGCAAAACTGTTATGACGCAAATAAAAATTTCATCAGAGGTTAACTTAAACACATTGGATATCTTACCCCACTACCCATCGTCTGTGGGAGACGAAGTGACCTGCTGGCTGGTCCTAAGATCGATAGGTCGGGGATCGAACCTTGGTCGAACTATTCTGTCACACTCTGCTCTCACAGAGCTACGCTGCCCCTCGCAAAGTAAGCAGTACCGCTAATGTTGCAGTGAATCTTGACGAGATGCTTAGAGTTACCTGGAAAGACTCACTTCTCATTGAGGAAAATCAGCAATAATTCTAATCAATTCCTGTTTAAAGAAAACCCGCGATAACTCCAGCAGTAACAGTGGCTGGTATGCTCGCAAGACTTGTGAACTTGCCCTCTTAAGGTTTATTATAGTAACAGACCTTTCGGTTGGTAAAAGGTTTACTTCCCTTAGAATGTTTAGGTAAAAAAAAAAACAAACAGTATTTTGTAGCATATTACTTTCTTTATGAGGGTAGCACACAACTCCGACATCCATGCTGTGGTTACATGACTCGTTTACATCATGCGTTTTCCATACGTCGTGTTCGCATTCGACTAGTGATTTCTCACTTCCGGTGCACTGCACATCTTTAAGAAATATTGATCCTGTGCCTGCGCTAAAACCAGCCATAGGGACAGCGGCCACTGCAAACGGAAAACCTAACTGTATGCATGTGACGTTGGCATCATTTCCGGTCCAGTACTTATCGCAAATTGTACCCCAGGTCTTCTCGTCTTTGCTTATCTCCACTCGTCCAGCATAAGAAAGAACGGGATCTTTCAAACGGATATAGACTATAGCAGAGTAAAGAGCACACAGAGTAATAGCTACAACCTTGGACAAAATAAATGGAAATTGTGACAACGCGTCCCACTCATTTCAAGTATCATTAAATGGCAACTTTTAGTTCACGCGCTACTTCATTGTTGCTTTAATTTGGTTACGAAGGCGGTTGAAAGGTTCTTTTTTCTTCTTTAACCCTTCAATTTTCTAACAATTTTCACTGCATTACCGCAGTAGGGTAGGACTAGAACGGAACATATGCGAACCATGAGAGTAGTCCACCCAATAAATCCCACCCATCCTACCCATCCTACCCCAGGGGAGGACATCCATCACACAGTAATCTCGTGCGTGGGAAATTAACGTCTCCCATCCCTAACCCTGTAGGAGACGGGATCTCCATTTATTCGTCCCTATCCGGAGAAGACTAGAATATCTAACCATTTCTTGATGTTAGAAAAGTAGCATATTCTTCTCAATTATTTCAAGACCTTGAGTGTTGGTCCGGCCGGGGCTTAAACCCTCGTCCAGCGCTCTATCCATTGAACTAACCGGTTAGCGGTTTAACTCCCATGAGTGACCAAGAGAGAATTTCTCCTTATAATATCAATACAACATCAAGCGGACAAGTGATGAGAACAAAGAAAAATGTCAATCAGGGGATTGTCAGTTGATCCAATACCAAATTCTCTACACTAACATCGTAAGAATTGTATGGCAGACAGTAAGGAGAAGTACTAATGAGATCACGGTAGTGAAAGGGTTAAATTATACCAGCCGTTAAATTTTTTTTTTACCTACAAGTAAATTCCTATAACCGCCATAGAGTCATGATCTGAAAGGTTAGATATGCTGACCCCAATCGCTCAGCATTCGCGCACCGCCCCCCAAATGTGGAAGAATCCCAATGATTTGCAAAGAAACTGGATAAGAATCTAGTTAAATGGGCTGTGATTCCAGAAACCGAAAAACCAAAAAGTGACCGTACCATATCCTAATTTGATCAAACTCTTGTAGTTATCAGGTACGGTACGTTAAATGACATATTTATTCTTAGATTTGATATTTCTTTGGCAGAGAAACTAATTTTGAAACTTTTGTTCTTAACTGCTTTTGAGCCTTAAAGACGGTACGTGCCGCGAGGATTGTAAACGGAGATGAACCTGGATCCTTTTGAAATTATGTTTTCATTACAGTTCTTGCGATTGGATTTCGCAACTACTTTAAGTTAGAAACCATAAAGTACGATTTTGACTTTGAAGAGAGCACTATACCTTTTGTGAGTTTATCATCCTTGGTATTGTTACCTTTTCCTCCAACTTCTCCGACGGCACTGACTAAATAAATTGCCAAGATGAAACTGTTCATGTCCACGAAATTACGGTTTGTTGATTTTTACTGAACAAGGATCACAAGACAAATGTCTTCAGCTGGTCGCAACATAATGGCAATATTAAGTCACAAAATCTTCGATGTTGCTTTCTGATTCTTGCGTGACGCTAATGGCGCACTAGTTCCCAGGGTTCTCCCCGCAACGGGGATGCATTTATTTCCTTACGCTGCTGCAACACTCTGTTCTTTTTCGTATTCATGTGAATGAAATATGTTGTTTGCGGTATTTACTTTACCAGATAGCTATAATATAGAACTGTTTCATCAACGTTTTTATGGGTTCCATGTGCATAAGAATTAATTTTTAGGTGTCTAGAACGTGAAAGTACTGGAAGGTTTGTGTGCGGCCTTTTTCCGCCCGTAATATCATTTACATTTCTGTGTAATAACTCGAGTATGAAATAAGGCTTTTGATATATATTGAAAATGATACGCGAATGAATCTCAAAATCTACCGTAACCTGACCAAGAATTATGGATCAGTGTCGTGTCGTATGATCGGACTTTTATCACACCAAGCTAGATTTTATAGATACATACATCCTTTTTACGTATATAATAGGTTTTGAGGACCTCAAATAAAGGAAGATCCAAGCGTTCCAGACTTGCACATAGTGAGCTGAAGTAGCTTAAAGCTGAAAGGTCAGTTGTCCATTCCTGACAGCAAAAGGAAATATACAACCTTTCAATTGCTTAGCAGTAGATTCACTTTTCACTAAGTTAAGCTTAGCTCTCCGTTGCTAATAGAAAGATTAGTTTTTTTTAACATTCACTGTCAGAGGGTATTTCAAACAAGTCACAGGCGGCTGTATTGAGCTCAAATAAACTTAAATCGTGGTCGCGGAACACTTCCTTTGGGGACTCTCTCCGTGATGGTACAAAAACAACACTCTCTCTAGACTCCATCATCCAAGGACATGTGCCAGATAAGGGCCTTGGTGGTAGAGGGCTGGGTGTTCCTATTGTGTTGGGGTCCTTTATTTTTTCTTTTCTTCGAAGTTCGACCACCGTCACGATTGGGTTGCAGAAGCCAAAAGGATTCGTCAACATTTTAACGGTTTTTCGTAATTTTTGAACATACATAAATAGAGTAATAAGTGAAATCGCGAGAAGGATGGTGAGTACCAGCAGTAGCACCACTTCCTTGTCCATACAATTATTGGTCTCACTGGTAGCGACTTTCTGTGTAAAATTTTCTGCTCAGCTCCTAAGAGCAAGCAATGGAAAGTTAGAGATTGCTGAATCAAGCAGTCCACTTTGACAGAGCTGAATAATGGAATGCTACGTCAGAGGGTATGCGGTCAACAACGCGAGCTCAAGTGTCCTTGGTCTAAAATTTAGCGAAATTAGCGGAAAATAATAAGGGCTGACTTTTAAAACCGAGGAACTCTATTTTCGTCGAAGGCATTTTCCTATTTCCGGAGGTTTTAAGGAGAAAATTAATTTTTGAAAATTTTTAGGGGGTGTACCAAGTTTTTGGAGGTTGTTCTCTAAAAGAAAAGTGGCAAGGAAAACGACGCCTCAAAGCAACAGAACAGGAAATCAACCATGCGAACGACTCAAAATCCGTGTTTCAGCGGCAAAACCTAGCGCATACGTATACGTTATTCAGCTCTGTCGTCCACTTTACTTCAACTGATGAAATGTTCACCCTATGCTCCCAAAAAAAAATCGCCAAACTTGATTTGTGAAAGCTACTGAAAACTCCCTTTTTAGGTAACATTCTCATGTTTCAATTTCCTGATATTTGAGTTGCATTTTAATTTGCTACGTGAACTGAAACCACAGGTAGCCCAAGCTCTGTCACAGGCTCTTTCACAGTGAATAATTAAAAATTAAACATCGACTAGATCGTCGATACTGTCCATCTGCACTGTTTTCAATGGATTTTTACAAATATCCTCTTACCCGGAGTACCTTAGTATGTGTGAAGAGTTGGTGTTAGAAGACTATGGGGAGGACCCGTTGAGAGAGATTTGACTAGGTTCCAGGTTGGCCGCGCATTAACGGTCTCTCAGCTGCACAAGAAGTTCCTTCCATGCATTAGAATAATTTCGAACGGCCGTTAATTTGAAATTCTCGCTGGATTGGTTGCTCGACAAACCGACTTTTGTGGGATTTTTTTCAGTGAACTTAAAGGGCAACTATTTGGCTTTCGTGCTGCTGAGTTTTGATTCGAGGGTAAGTATTTGTGTTGTTTTCGAGCGATTTTGGCGAGCATGTGTCAACAGAGTTTCCGACCTTCCCGTATTTTATGCCCGGTACTGATTTAGGGCGTCAAGCCAAAACACATCAAAACGGCCTCAAATCGCGAGGAGAACAACACAGACTACTCTCTACGAGGGTAAGACTTTATTTCGTTTATTATTTCACACAACTTTACATTTATGGAGCTCAAAAGCAAGTCCAACTGAACCACTATACAAACTCTTTAATTATTCACTGTGAAAGAGTCTGTGACAGAGCTTGGGCCACCTGTGCTGAAACCAAAGTCAACTTGGCGCGTACCAAAAAGCATTAGTTCGGAAGGAAACCATAAAAGAGGCCAAGATAGAGCCAACACGGAACAAGGATAGGTCTGATAGGTTGTGGGTACACTTCAGGTATCATCACAGGCGTCGGAATATTTATTGTTTTAAATGGACCATATTTCGTTCCCCATACTATTCCTTATAACGCATTGAGATATTCGCAACGATTGCTTGTGTAACTTAACACCGCGTCACACAGCGCGTGACGCTTTCATGGAATAATCCTTCGCTTTCCTCGAGACGTGAGCTTGGGACGCCTGTGGTATTATGACGAGTTTTCTTATCCAGTTCAAAACACACTCAATATGAAAACCCAGAAATAGTCATCCAAAGGAAATTTTTCAATATCTTAGCGTATGGACGTTGATGCCAAGACTCGTTTTAATTTCTGGTATGTTTGCATACCAAGACTTGATGGCGACAAAACATAACCAAGGTCAGTTATTGCCGTGAAGAGGCACGTTTGCCCGTAATAATCTGGAATATAATCAAACCTGATTTGCCCGTAAAAATTTGTGACCGGTCCAAAGCTAACAACCGTTGATTTCACTCGTTCCTGGAGAAAGCCGTCACAAAAACGTTCTTTCTGTAGAGTCTAACTCCCTGATGGTAATTTTAGTAGCGTTAGGCAGTTCATGATTAGATGCGCCGCTGACAGAGAAATGGATGGTTATCAATAAAGCTATCTTTACATCTCAACGATTTTAATCACTGAAAGTAAAGAGGTTGTTGATGACTGATATCATTTTTGCGGAAATTGAGCGAACCATAAATCTGCTTATTTAAATCAAAATCATAAGGAAATAGTTTCCTCCTCTAAAAGAGTCAGCGTTCTCTTTGTGCCAATACTTTCTTCGAAAAAGATCCTTACACCGCATTTTGCTACAGAAAAAAAAATCCAGTCACATTCTTTTACGAACTCGACATTTTATGTGTGAATGTTAAAGTTACGAATTGAGTGGCGCGCCTGCTTAAGTTTTAAAGTTGAGTGCTGGAGTTCGATTCTTACCTTTATAACTGTACACATCTATTCACATAGCACAGAGGATGTGTTCTTGCCAAGCTAGTGCTTCTTTAGGCGTTGTTTAGAAACTCGAACATCTTTCCACGAAATTCGCTCTTGATGACAGCCAGACTCATTCGTGCGTGTCACAAAGGCGCGTTTTCAAAACAGTGTCAAGTCCGGGCGGAAACAAATGCCCACCACGTGACTTAGTGGGGTCACACTTCAAACTCGTCAACCCTGTCAGCAGGGATAGTAAATTTTAAATGACAGTGCGCCCAATTTTAGCAGCATCCAGTAATGAAATTCCTCTCTTGATTTCCGAGTTGAAGTTTAATCACGTCATTTCAATTCAGAAATAACTCAAAGGAAAGGATCGACTCTGAGCTGGGTGGAAAATTGACGACTTTGAGAAACGGTACGTGCGAAACTTTAAGATCTATTCACCTCTCAAGGATCTTGAAAAGTTCAGCCTGAATTTTTTTTCCAGATTGTCAAGTGAAATGTGTTGGGGTTTTGCATTCGTTATCATCATTCTTCGCTTTTGGCTTATTACATCCTATTTAGTGTTTGTTTAGCTAAGCAAACGTAGAGATATTCCTCAATGAAAATGTCCTATTGGAATGGGCGATAATGGATGAACTAGCACAGGTGAAAAAAAAGGGAGGTCAGCAGCTAGCTGAAGTCGTATCGATAGACTGTACCACATGGCTTGAAACCCGTCTTGATTCAGTGCTGAATCTACGCGGAAACGGCTTTATCTCTGAACAACAAAGCCACATTTTGGTGGGGTGTGCCTTTCTGGTTTGCTTTCCTCGTCTGCATTAAACCGAAGCTCGTCAATGAGCTCCTGTGCACTTCACGAAATATGCGACATATTTTCCGTGGAATATTAACCTTTTTATTTTCAGGGTGGCCATTAAGGTTATCATCATCAAGGAAAAATGTGACAACCCTTTTTTCGCAAAATTGGGGCAGTCTAGTTTTTTACTTGTTCAGGAGAAACTTCGCTGAACAGCAATTGTTAATTATGAAAGGATCGAAGTGTCAACGTCAGAACGTTTTCCTGAGACTGTGTTGTTTACAACGTTTATTGCGAATTTTCCTCATACCGTTATATATAGTGTGAACAAAAACTTGTCAATGTTAGGGGGGCTCTAGCGGGGCGGACAAGGTGCTTTGGGCTTCGTGGTGAAAATCTCCCCGTGGGTCTCCCCGTGGGTCTCTGAAAATTTCTTCGAGAGGTGCTCTTGTCAATTCATCCAAACTGGCGAGTTCTTGAAAAGTTTTTCGTGTAAAGTGTCCTCGTTTAGAGCCTGCTATGTCAGGTTTTAGACAAGGAAGATTTTCCATTGGTCATATTTTTTTATTCTTCGTCGCTAAGGAAGAAAATTTAAGGGAAAACATGTAAAAGAAAACTCGGTATTGTAAAAACGACTTAATCCTTTTCCGCAAGCAACTATTGTTCGTAAATAATGAAATACCATCGAGTGACGCTGAAAACTAAGTCAGTTAAATGAAGCAAGTAAGATATTCATTAATTACAGGGTTTGACTTTTAATTGGTGCAAAAAAAATTGGGCCGTCATGAATATCTAACGATCAATCTTCCAAACAAATCGTGTCAAATCACAGATGTTGTCACACCAAGTTATTTGGTTGAGGAATCGTCTTCCTTCATCACGACACCGTCATAAGAATGCTTTGGCAAAATCATGCTCATTCTCAGCACGACTGACTCGGTTAAGAGAATTTTAGCATCTCGGGTAGTCCTTCCTTTACGGATTTTCACATTTATTGAATAACGCACTTGTCTTAACCATTTTACCTGCAAGAAAGGCGACAACACGACGCGCTGCAGTAACAACATTTCTTACTTAGTGACCCTTAAACTAACAACTGGTACTAAGACGTTCATGCTTCAAAACCCAAGGATACTAATGGAAAACCTGAGTTACTGTGATCTTTCCTTAGCTTTGCTAAATTGGAAACAACTGGAATTTAAAAAAGTTCCGCCAGTTTCTCAGCAATCTCTTAATAGCGTCAGTGATGTCATCAGTGTTTTGCGCGTGCACAGAATTGGAAGATGACACATGCGCACCCTAGTCTTGTGCCGTCATGTCATTGAGTAAGCTCTGAACGGCACACTGCTGCCTGATTGTAAATAAACTTTCATTTCACTTTTCACTGAGGGTTATAACTAACCAAGAAAAAGATGTCGACTGAGAGAACTTCTATCTTTGCGCTTTCGCGCGCAGTGCGAGGTAAAATGCATGGCCATATTATACTAAGAGAATAGGTTTGATCCTATGGCTGAAGCAAAAACAGTTTCCAAATAAAAAAAAAAGATGGTTACATTGTTTATTCAGCCTACAAGCACAAACTATGACATTTGTTATACTGTCCATCACCCCTAAAACAGCAACGGTACGAACAGATTTCTGATACAGAGCAAAGATATCACGTATGAATATGTTACGTCCAAATTTTTGTCACGACATTTAAGCCAGCCTGATCAAAGACAACTGCTGGAATTAATTTTCATTCTTCGATTGCATTGTTTCTTTAATTGTGCAGCTGATGTGTCAGCCTCCGTGTGTTTTAAGTATATTGGGCAAGAATTCCAAACAGGGCAGTCCAAGGGATAAACGATGATACGGTATCATTCGGTTCAGGTCTCTATTAAAGCCATTTATTTTAGGCTTCGGTAATCCTCGGGGAGATATCTTTCTCACCTAAGTTCACTTATATCCATTGTGTATGATCTGTCGGGCATTTCGGGGTTATTCAAATCCGCCATTTCGCCCCTGTTCACGTATATTGGCTCGTCTAAGCCTTGATTTTCGTAAATCTCTTCACCATTGGTATCGGGGCAAATGGGCTGGTCGTTCTCGCATGCGTTGTCGCTACCGGTGGTGGGGCGCCTTTCGTCGGCATTAGCACCTGGTTGGAAAGACTGGTTGACGTATCCTAAGGCAATAGTCTCGTGAGTTGAGGCATCGTTCTGAGCAGCAATCTCTTCGCCAGGCCTGGGAAGGTATGTGACAGTTTCATCCGGTGCTATATGTATCGCAGACAACCTGTTTGGTGGCTTTGCTTGGCCTGGTTCCACAGTGTAACGGTTGGCGGACGAGCTCATCCTTTTTCTGTTAGTCTCATCATTGTCTTTTCTCCCTTTGATATCGCTTTCTATGGGCTCAGTGTAAATAATGTTTCCATTTCTCGCGAGTTCATTCAAGTCTCGACGGATTCGCCTCACGGTAATGCATAGGAACACAACGACGCAGCAAAGGAATGCGCAGCACCCACATAATATATAGAGTAATATCGAGATCCAGTCCATGTCCCTGTCCTGAAAGTAGAATTCTTGAGATTAGCCACTGAATCCGTTTTATTTTTTCTCAATAATAATACCATGCTATTATTATTATGGCAGTTATACACATCTGGATGCCAGATTAAAAAAAAATAAAAAATTAAAAATAAAGCTAGGCAGCGAACGGTGGCTAGCTCTGTGTATAAATTTACAGAAAATAAACTATTTAAAATGTCATACATAAATCAACTTCAAATTCTAGTTAAAAGAAAGTCGTTAAATAAATAAATAAACAAAACCCTAAAAGTTCCTAATGTTGCGAGTATATTGTTCAGCTCAAGACCTTGAAAGATCTCGCAATGTTTAAGCTGCTACTCAGCATGGACTTCTGCATCCTTCTCAGGCATTCTCTGCTTCGTTCTGCTCCTAGCAAATCCCTAACACTACTGTACAGCTCATTGGAGTATTATTATTATTATTATTATTGTTATTATTAGTATTAATGTTAGTATTATTATTTGCTTATTTTGGAGCCTAGTGGTTAGCGCACTTGGCCACAGAAGGAAACTAGAGTTTTCATGCAACCTGAAATAACGTTACCATTACTCGCGCTATCCCTATAAAACTATACATTTTCTTAAAGCTTATAAAACATTGATGTCGGATATTTAATTTATTTTTAGAAATTTGACCATTCTGAAGAACGCCTTTCTTCCGTTCTACTCTCAAACTGATTTTTGCTTTATATTTCCCGAAGTAAACACGATACCGAACTTACCGAAACTTTCATTAGTTGACGGCGGAGGCACGCTCGTTCGCCTGGCTAAAATCGCGTCTGGTTGACTTTCTTCAGTTGACTGCGTTTTATTCTGAGAAGGAATAATCGTAAGTAAGGATAAAAGAAGTTTAAAGTTTTCTCGGACGCAGAAGCCCTTCAGAAAGCTACTGCATTCTAAGGTTGAAATAGGTTGTGGTCAGCCTTATGTGTGAAGATCTTATTACAGAGTAATGATAAAAAAAAATGTATTATATGGGGCCATTTCAAATAATTATTGTGCCGTGTTCCTCTTTTATTCGGAAGGGATGTTTTTGGACCTTGATGGACAAGGAAATAGAATGCATTTGTATGTTAATGAGTCACGTTTTGTTACCAAATATCTACGCTACAATTTGTACGTATCACTGAATTTCGCTTAAATATGTAAAGTCATTTGCAGTCCATTTTAAAGTTTTCCATCTTAAATATTCCCGAAACCTCTCTATCTACCTAAGGAAACTCTTGTGTTTTGGTTGTCTTGCAGAGGACCAAAATCGTTCCCTGCCCAAACATGCACTCAGAATATCATGGCCTAGTTTCTTTTTGGAATTAAGTGTGGCTCAAAATGACGTACAATCGAAAACTTGATGTATGTTAAGTCTGAGTATGAAAAAATGTCACCTCTCCGTCACTTCGTTTCAGCTCCGGCGGATGCCATGACTTCAACTAAACAATACATCAATATTTTACGTATTTAGAATTGACCAAAACATTGGTTAAACGTGTCACACAAAGAATAGAAAAGAATCCGTATTATGCAGCAGAAATGAGGACACTTGTCAAGAGGAAATCAAGTAAGAAATTCTCACCATTCCCGTCAATGAAAATTCATTAAACGGGCATCAGCAGTTCATTATTAATAATGAATAAGGAAATATTTTACTTCGCGACTGCATCTTTGAACTGAGAATCCATATCGCCGAACTTCTGTTCCTAATTAAAAAACTTTAGATTTACAGACGGTGATCCGATCACAAGCCAAATTTCTTGCTAAAAAAATATTTTTTGCCTTGAAGGTTACGTTCAAGTTTTGCTGGTTCAACAAATGAAACCAGAGGAATCCGAGACTCGGATTATATATGCGTCAAAGTTACCAAGGTTTTCGTAAAACGAATAACAGAGGAAAGCAATTGGTCATGGGCAAATCAAGGCATGTGGCGTTTTGTAGGCAGTTCGGCTTGCAGGACGTGCGAGAGAAGCCCTAGGCGCGTGCAAACGTCTCTATACTTCTCTTTGTTTGACCTAAGTAGAGAGTAACTAACACCTTCCGAATTTGGAACAAAAAATAGTGCCATGCATGTAATACCTCTTTCGAATCTCGGCAAACCAAATGCTGCAATAATGCGTCTCTAATTGTGTTTATCTGTCTGTTTTAAGCTTTTTCAAGTAACGCATTGTACTTGATTCCTGGCTGACCACGTGAGTCTTGATAAAACTAGAAAAAGTTCATCGATATCAGACAACACGACGAGACATCCTTTCAAACGAAATTGAGCGAAACCGAAAACATGGAAAGAAAAATCAGATAATGCCCGTGTCGTGAACGTCAGTACATTTAGCGACAGAGAGGAAATTAATATGACAGCCTTGATACTATTAATAATTGATATGGTACATAAGGAAATAAAATCGTGATTTTGGATATTTCACCGCCAAAACCTGGTCCAGAAGTATAAATCATGAGGCATAATTCAATCGCAACCTTAAAGAGTTTATTAGCACCCAAACATCTATCGTACCTTGTAAGTGGGACCCGTAAGTCAGTCAATGTACTGCGACAAAACTCGATAAGGAACCGCTGATGTTATTTGCAAACATTCGTTTGTACGAAGCCGGCCGTTTTTTCGCGGCAATAGGTGGTTATTATCGATCCAAGATGCAAGCTGCTGGACAACAGACGACAAAATTTGCTCGTGGGAAGCGAATTGACGATTGGAGCTGCTTGCGACAGGATGCGCTAAGAGACAGTGGTCGACAAGCTGGTATTAGGAATGCGTTATCAACAGTCCTATCAAGTGTCCTTCCATCAGTCAAAGACGTCTTCAGAGCGTAGGTTTTTTACCTCTGAGAATTTCAGGATCCAATAGGCAACGATCGCGATACTTTTCCACCGGTTTGCTGCTGTGCCGGCTGATGCCTTTGTCTTGCGCTATAGTTACCGGTGTGAAATGCGAAGAACTCTGAGGGATTAACCCTTTGACTTTAGAATATTTGACAAGGGTCAGTTACGCAAGAGTGATAACGATATATGAATTTTAATTGGATGAAGAAGGGTTAAAAAAAACAGGAAGTCTATCGAAATAATACTTTTAGGTGCGTTGTATCAGAATTCAGTTTTCCTACCATATTTTATTCCTATCTCGTTTTTATCCGAAGATTTTGACCAATTTTCACGATTTTATTGAAGCTTCAAGTGAAATTATCGACTCGCAAGGTTGGACTATAATAGAGAAAGCGCAATCAGGATTCCAAAATAGCCGGAAGATCTTAAATATCCCAGAGTCCAATACCCGATCACAATAGTTAAAATATCTTATCTAAGTGACCGCCGAAACTGCCAGCTATTTCTTGACTTCAATTTGGGTATTTTTGGTTTTGTTTCCGTGGTAATAGAGGTATCTTTTGACATTATAATACTATAAGGACTTAGGAATTTAATCCTCGAAAACTGAAAGGGGGTTACCCCCATGTTGACCTTTGCTTAAACAATTGCTGAAACAGGTCTGATAGCTTCGTAAACAAGCCTGTTTTCAGGTGCGAATTAGAAAAATTTGACCATGGTCACGAAAACTGTCTAAGTACGACTGGTGCTACATGTCGTAGTATTTTCTTCACTGTAAAGTAAACTCAACCTCTGGCATTTTCAGTAAACATGGCATTTTGCATTATCTGCAAAATTTAAGTAGTACGTGTATGTTATAGAGCCCCTATTGCATTTCATCCGTGTAAAGTAACTTGTGTATTATTTTGTTGGTGTTGAGGGACAAATTATGATGATACGAGAAGCTCTTGTACTGTTTGCTGTAAAACTTTATATTGGTTAGGGAAGCAACAGAAGCAAACCGAAGCTTACAACAATACGTGTTAATGCGCCGGGATTTGTCCCAACAAGTCAACACAATGCTGTTTGTCACAGAACACAAATGTGCACACAACTGTCGAAAGTACCAGTAATGTTCGGTTTCTGACAACAGAGCACTTACCTCAACAAATTGCGAGACAGCATAAAATCATAACCTTCATTTATGTCCGCCTGAAAGATACGAGAGGTCACCTCTCTCGTGCAACACTAGCCTACTTATTCAACTACAATGACACTTTTCGTCCTTTTGAGACGTTTTAAGTGATGAATCCTAAATTGAAATACTTTTGGGATAATATTTTTCTAATGGTGCCGCGAGGCATGGCGCGAGTGGCTTTTCTGGAAATGACGTCACTGCAGATGCAATGAACTAACTTTGAACAGTCGCTTTAATTTCTAGATTTCTCATTTACCTAACGAAAGCGAGAGGAATTTAAGAGTTAAAAAGTTGTTTCAGTGATCTCTATGAAGAAAAGAGGAGGCAAGGGAAGAGACAAAAGACAGGAAAGATGAGGCAGAAGAGACGAGCAAAGAGACAAGACTGAGAAGAGACACAAGACAGGAAAGAGATGAGGCAGAAGAGACGAGCAAAGAGACAAGAGAAGAGACACAAGACAGGAAAGAGATGAGGCAGAAGAGACGAGCAAAGAGACAAGAGGACACAAGACAGGAAAGAGATGAGGCAGAAGAGACGAGCAAAGAGACAAGAGAAGAGACACAAGACAGGAAAGAGATGAGGCAGAAGAGACGAGCAAAGAGACAAGAGAAGAGACACAAGACAGGAAAGAGATGAGGCAGAAGAGACGAGCAAAGAGACAAGAGAAGAGACACAAGACAGGAAAGAGATGAGGCAGAAGAGACGAGCAAAGAGACAAGAGAAGAGAAACAAGACAGGAAAGAGATGAGGCAGAAGAGACGAGCAAAGAGAGAAGAGAAGAGAAACGAGACAGGAAAGAGATGAGGTAGAAGAGACGAGCAAAGAGACAAGAGAAGAGACACACTGAGACAGTTTCCAGAAAAAATACGAAACCTGCTCATAGAGTCGGATGGCATTTTTTTAAGAAAGTGATGGTATCGAAACTATCTCAAATTACTGGCTCTGGCCATTGATAGACGGTTATGTTTGGATGATGTACGTGCGAAACTGAAAAAGTAGCAGTGCGAAACTGAAAAAATGTTAACATTCTCCAAATGCAGCTATCTACGCAGATTATCTATGTAATCTGTATTGCAGGTTGCAATACATTTTTTCTTTTAGGAGGCTCGCCAACTGCACGCCCTGACCTTAGCTGAAAGCAAGGATTTAATTAAAGGGCGGATTGATATATCGTCCGTAATAATATTGTAGATATTATTATAGGCAACGCTTCCGCATTTTCCGATAAAGAAAAGTGATGAATGATTGACGTGAAATAGTGTGCCTTATTTACTGATGAAGATCTCCGCGCGAAAACTTTACTTAGTGGTTGTACATCTGCTATTTCCAAATACATGTTTGTAGTTCATACAGCCAAGAGCCGTTGTAGTTTTGCAACTGATGATACTGGCATGAACAATACTTGTGCCTTGGCAGTCAACCTTCCAAACTACGAACGCATTTCCTGATCAATCAACATATCCGGCCATGGTCAGTTTCTGTGATCCAGACCAAAGAATTAATTTTATCAAACGATGAGGAACTCTTTTCCAGGTTTTTCATTCAATATTGAACTTTTTATCATTTCTTCGTCTGGTTTATTCAGCTTTGAAACCCTCGTTTTGGCTGCCAAGGTTTTTCTTTTCCGTTTCAGCGTCTTTAGATGTGTTTTTCTCTCCCGCATGTACTTCCGTATTTACAAACTCTTCTGGTAATGGTGGATGTGGATTGCGTGGCAGCAAGGTAATCGATTCCCCCGCGGTTGGCCTAGCACTTGCCCTTATAGGCAACATGTCTCTCAAACGTAGCGATCCTGACGTAGTACGCCGGTTATTAAACTCGATTTGTATTTGACGAACATCTTCGATTTTGTTGTAAACTTTCTTGAGGTTTACATGAAGGTAAATTACGAAGATACACAGGAGAACCTGACAGACGCAACCCAACCCTAATAATGCTAAAACGATGTACGTCAGATCTTGAACGTCCATGGGTGAAACTTGTGTTCTGAAAACGAAATAGAAAAGAAAAAAAACAAACAAACAATCGCCCTGATTATGTTAATTTTAGGTTGGTTTTCTTTTCACGGTTCATCCGATTGACTCTGGGCAATTGTGAAACCATACTGCTCCTTTACCGCTTTCGACCATAAAGCCATTCCGCTCAAATACAGCCGAAATAATATGAATTAAACTGAGACCTACATCTTTTCCAAATATAATCATGCTAACAAGATGATGAATTTATGCAAACTGCAGCTGTATGTCTTGAACTGAGAACTGAAAGATCAACGGAGAGATGTGCTTCCACTGTTTAAGCTTCATTTTAACATCCATGTTATACATTTCTAGTATAAAGGTCGCTATGTGGGTAGGAACACTTCTGTTTGAGTTCTGTGGACACGGCTAAACGCTTGCTCTAAGAACTTAAACATAGTAGTGATATTGCTGGTATAACTTTAGGCTATCACTTACGGAATTGCTTGAATGCCTCCACGGAAGGATCATCAACTACGAAAGCGCGTGGGAAAAATTTCAGCTTTTCATCAAACTTTCATGCATCACCTCAGATGACGAAAAATCTTGGAGCGTGCTAGAATACTTTTTCTTTTAAAAGCTTACTTACTGGCTTTCTTCTAGAAATAAACCCGGTCGGACCGCAGATCTACTTGCCTTTGCAATTGGGGCGCCTAATCGTTGCAATCATTATAATTGCAAAACAGACAATTAATTGTTGCTATTGTGTCAGACATCACAACACGTCTTTATTTTCACGTGATAAGTAATTTATACGGAAAAGAAGTTTTAAAGGTTTTGTATGCTTGGCTGATTCATTCGACCTTCGTGTCAATAACATTGCAAAAAAATGCGCAGGATAACGATTTTAAAGAAGAGGAACGCTAAAATTTGGGTGCTGTAAAATTCCATTGGAAAAGTTTTATGCTTCCATAGATAGTAAACTCACAGTTAAGGTACGGTGTACCTATTTAACTTTGTCTGACTCCAGTCCGAGTGACCCCTTGTTATACAGTTAAGATTTACTTATTTAGTTAATTTAGCTATTAATCGTGGTCGACGACCGCGAAAACGTGTTTAGTGTCAAAGGTAGAAGGCAAGAGGACATTTTCATTCTCTTTGGCTTTTTCATATTAGAATCTCGGTCCGTCAGTTCTTTCGATCAATCGACACGTCTACGGGAACTCGAATTATAATGCCTGTTTCTTGATTCATTCTTCAAAATTACACGAACTGTTACATGGCCAACCCTAGAATTATTTTCAACGACGACCACTGACGACAAGTCAATGAGACGTGGTTTTATTGACTTTCCTGTTGCAACAGGTTACTAAAGAAGGCGTTGAAAGTAATTGCCTGTGTACGTCCCGTTAGATATCAATAATATCGCTATTAAGGTAGATAGGAGGTTCATGCTCATCAGGTCTCAGGGCAGGGCCACCGCTGTAGTTCATCAACCTTTGTTGGAACGGTAGGTTGACATAGAATGGTTCGTTTTCCGATAAATTGTGAACTTCCTCGTTATCATTGCTCGTAGTTCTTGCCTTCGTATCCGACGCACTAAAGGGTATTTCGCTGTAAATTTCGTTGCCTTCTTCATCGAGGTTGGAGTAAACTTCCTCATTATTTTTACTTGCTGTTGTCGCTTGGCGCTTATGTTCTTCATTCTTCCCACCGGCTTTCTTCTCTTGCTTCGGATCAGGGCAACCGGCAGTGGCTCCGTTTCCTTTGTGAAGAATGCTTCGAAGTTGGGAAATTATATCTGACGAGTCATCTTTTTCTCTCACTTCTTGGGTGGAGGCACATTCGTCGAGGAGCTGGCCATTTTCTTTATCGATCGGTTTCTCTTTTTCAACGCTCACTGACGTAACTACCAGTTCATATTCAGAGGTGTCATCTTCATTAAGACTTAGCTTGTTGCAGTTTTGATTACTCTTCGATAATGCACCTGTTTTTTCCTGAGCAACATTGAACACAATTCTGTCCTGCTTTACGACGCCTCGCTCATGCCCGCTAGGATCCTCCGAATTATGCGGAAAGGACATCCGTTGAGCCTTTTTTCCCTTTCCTTTATAGTTTTCATTAATGTTATTCTCTTGTTTACCCGCAGGGTAGCTATGTCTCACAGCAGTGTTAGCTCTTTTATCACGGTTTGGAGTCTCGCTTGTTCTGTTCCTAAGGAGGCCTCGTAGTTGAGAAATAACACCAGTTGATTCATTGTTTTGCGTCATCTCTTGGGTGTTGGCCGATGGGGACATTTTCTTGCCCCCATTGTCTGAATCCACTATACCCACCAACTCATAGTTTGGAATGCTCCCATCATTTGCACCGGATTTATTATCGGAATAACCCGCGTCGTTGGCAACTTGGGCATTGTTTCCTTCATTGGTTTTCTTCTTGGACTTAACTCCTGTCTTAGGGGGAGCTGCGGTGTGTTGTTGCGTGAGTTGTTGTAGATCACACTCGTCAAGAACCGCAGGCATGTTCTTTCTGTCTGCCTCCTGGCCAGGTCCGTTGAAGTGGAATTCAACTTCAGTGGGATTTTTTATATGAGGTGAAGGATTAAACGTTTTCTCTTTTCCCTCGGCGTTCACTCCACGGCACATTTTCTTCGAGAGGCGTGGTTTTGGCTTTGGCCAAGTTTCACTCGCTGTACCATTCTCAGAAATTTCGCTCTTTGGAGGTCTCACCACGACTATACCTTCTTGAGACTTGGTTGGTGCTTTGCAGCAATTTTCTGATGTATCTGTAGGACCCTCTTTATTTAGCACCTTTTCATTACTCTTCTCTGTGTCTTCCTTCAGTCCTCCTTGAGTTCGGATTTCTTTCTGTATATCTTCACCCTGGGGGCTCGTTACGTTTCTTAGTTCTGATGAAGCTTCATTTGTTTGCTTCGTATTCTCAATCAGAACCACACATTCAAGTTTGCCCGTTTCAGTAGCCTCTGAATTTTTCGGAATGTCGTTTCCATTCTGTGTACCAATCTCAATTTCAGCATTTTTATCTACTTGTCTCTCATCGTGGTCCGCAAAGGGATTTAAGTGATCCGCACTGCCAACACTTACGTAGATTCTTCTTTTGTCTTGCTGCGCGTCCGTCGCGGGGCGTTCACTTGAAGAGACTCCCACAAATGCAGGGTTATCATCCACTATTTGTAGATATGATGCCACCGGGATCGATGCATCTGGAATTATTTCCTCTTGGCTCTTTGATTCTTCGTCTGTTTCTTTGACATCTCCTTGAGATGGACAGGCAGATTGTTCTTCATCCGGACGGGGTCCATCTTCATCGTCGTAAACAAGTGCATAAGCGAAACCTCTGGGGATATCTTTCCAAGCGTTATTTTCGTCGGAGCCTTCCGCTTGTTGGTTGAATATTACTATAGAATTGGAGACAGCGTTTGGAGTTTCGTGTTGAAACTCTGTCAGTTGTGTTAAGGGTTCCTCGCTTGGTGCTAGTTTGCAAAGAACGTTCCACCCGTTGGATACGCTGTCCACACGCTTTTGTATTTTTCTCAGCCAGACAACCAGAAACAACACAAGCGGCAGTAACAGAGTTAAGAAACAGAGCAGAGCTAAGGATAGATGAAAAATAACTTTCTCATCCATTTATTGTGGAGTCGTTTTGATTCTGTCAAAAAACAATAAAACATCACTGTAATAGATCTTGCTTGAAAAATTGTCTTTTTCTTTGGTTATCAATTTGTCTCCTCCCCACCTCTCATACTTTCCATACAAAGGATTAAGATAGGGAAGCCATTTCTTGGGTATTTGCTTAAATCAAGTTTTTGAAACGTTTTTATCTCAGTTAACCTTCGAGTGAGAAATCTTAAATGCTCAAGTGGAACACCACCACTATTTCCCTTAATTTAGTGTGACTAAAGATTCGTTTTGACCGAAAATGATTAGGCACAGTACAAATGAAACTAATTTGCAAGTAGGTGGGATTTTCATCCGACTGCAGGAAAGTGATAACACCCGCAATAATGCCGAATGTACTAAATACAGATTAATTTCTTCCTCCACTCAGAGTAGAGCCGGGTAATGTCATGCCAGCCTATTTCCGCCGCACGCCCTCATAAATGTTACGTGACGTCTCGAAGTACTATCAGTGCAGCTTGAATGGCGTCCCCGTGTCGAACTATTTCGAACGTTTCACTATTATGAAAGATTGATTGAGTTCTACAGTCATCATGGACGGTAGTTCCACTTTTATCTCACTCGAAACTTGTCTTTTTTTTCCTTTTTTTTTCAATCAGATCGATTGTCCCCCTTCATTTTCGATTCAGTGAAACCAAATACACAAATGATTACAAAGCTCCGTTAAGAGCATGAGTATCAAAATACTTATAAGTTCTTTATTTTATTTCCATTAAAAGCTATTGCTCGCTGTTTCCCCTTACCCACAAGGGCGTAAGAAACGAGGAAGATTTATACTGAATTTTCGTCCTTGTTTATTGGCAGAATTGGAAATCTTGCCAACATTGATATTGAAGAAATGCTATCGGAGCACTTTAATCCGTTTTGACCTTTTAAAATAGCTTAAAAACGTGATCTGAGTTATTTTGTCTCACAAGCGAGCAAAGATCCACTCTTCACGGTGTGTATTGTCTGTGCGAAACAATAACAAGTTTTTCTCCAATACAGAAACACGTAAACAGACCTATGAATTTTGCAGTCTTCATTAACACAGCGGTTAGAGAGTTTGACCTCTTGCATAACTAGAATTTTTTTTATTTGTGTGGTCATCGAAATCATCAACTGTAGAAGCTGTTAATCCGAGATATGCACGGGCTTAACTCATTTTAAATAATATTGAAGGTTGATGTAAAATGACATTGAGTGTGTTTTGTCCGTTGGAGAAACAAAGCTATTTTCATCACGCACATAATCAAAAAATGTCATCAATATTTGAAGGGGGACCCCCTAAGCTTTTCAGTGAGTGATAGAGAGGCTTTCCCTCTCTGAAAAATAAAAACAGACAAAGACGAAACTAACAGTTGGTAAAAACGTCCACAATGTCAATTAATCTGAGTACTAATTCCATTAAAGTAAAGCAAATTGCAATGTGAATGATCGAGTAAGCCAAGATAAGCATGACAGCTGCTCGTAATTGTACAATTTTCTTCGCCTCAAAAACGTTTGAAATTCTTCACGCTTGTGATTCTTCGGCTTAGCTGATTGAAGCGCGACAGCACCAGCCCGGTGGTGGGAGGGGACTCCCAGAGACCCTTGCCCCTGATTAAAATCACGAAATGTATCACTTTTCATTTCCTGTGTTTTCGCCACCCTTATGTTTGGTCTTGTATTTGGACGATTTTTATCCCATGATAGATCGTTTCAGAGGTGAAACTTAAGCAGTTCACGGTTAAGAAAAATCCTAATTTTTTTGCAGAATTGTGACACTACATAACTGAGCAATTCCTCGCATTCGGCGTCGTAATATAACTGTTCTCCAGCAAAACATCTAGCACGATGGATGTAAACATCTGTTTTGTGATACTTACCCTTTTCCAATCTTTCTTTGCCTTGACCAGAAGGTATTTTCTAAGTGACTAACAAACGCAATGCTTCTGAACATTAAGCCTTTAGTCGAGACATGTCTCATCACATTGGAAGGACATTCGCAAGAACCAGTTGCGTTGTCACTCAGAACAACAGGGAAGACGACAGTTCAGCGGGTCAGCAGCAGCAGCCATTTGTTTGTGACCGCGTAAACGAAACGATAGGTCAAAACTTTGAAAGATAATTGCTTTTCCTGATAAGGGATAAAAATACACGTGCACTCCACTTTTCTAGACAAAATCTGCAGACCTTACTACAACGGTCTAATTTTCGATGCCTCGGGCATTTTGGCGACGAATCTGTAGCCCTTCACAGATCATTGCTTTTCAATTCATGATCGGTCCAAAGGGGTAACGATATCATGAGTACTTTTATGAACTGAAAGCGTGACTTTCCCCTCATTTCGGCTTCTGAAAGCAGAATTGTGTTGTATGAACAGCAATCATTGTTCAGTTTTCGTTTCTAAGTGATATTTGGCAGCTTACCTACGGTGGTGGCATCAATATTAGATCCGGTGGCAGAATAGGTTTGTCAGTAATGTTTGCAAATATTGCAACTATTCTTGCGGTATAAAATTACATGAGTTAAGTCTTAGATTAAGAGCGCTCTGTCCACCCGTCAAGCGACCTTTCGTTCCTTAGAGTTTTTTGAGGTTTGCGTTGTCTATCATAGGGTGCCAGCGCGTTCTGTAAGGAACCTGTCAGTCATCGTCGCGTTAGGGGGGGAGGGGAGGGTGAAAGATGTTTTTGATGGGGATCACGTGGTTTTTCAGAGGGAGGGGCTAGGGGTAATCAGTCGGTTCCAACAGAGAACTTCAGAAAATTAATTGCTTGTGAGAGGGAAATCATGAGAATTTTATCGTGACATAACCAAAATCAAAATTCTCCATGACACAATAGACACGACAGCTACGTCGTCACACGTTCTCACACTTGTGTTTTACTCTGAACAAATCTAATAGCACATCTTTTGAAGAAGAATGTAAATCTAAGAGGTAAAAAGAGGAAAAATAAGAGAAAAGGAAAAACGAAAAGAAAAAAGGGTGATGCGGCCTCATGCGAACTCGAGGGGGGTAAGTACATCCATTGCGCTAAGTACGCAGAGCGTACGAAGTACATTTGATTCTTCGATGATTTTGTCTGCTAAACGGCGTAATGCTTTTCGCTTGACAAAAATTTTTCAACTCTCTGAGGGTGAGACAAGGAAGATTGAAAATGTCGAAAAATTTTATTCGGCCTGCGATTTGTTGTTGAGGCAAAAATTTTGTTTTTGTTCCGGAGACGAGTAGCTGAAACTTCAGTGTCGAGGAGAGAAATTCGTTCTGGTGACACATGAATTTAACACTTTAACCCGCACAAGTGATCAACATAAAACTTCTCCCTGTAATATCTTCACGTTATCCAGCAAACAAGTAATGAGAATACTCTGTCTTATCGGGTAGAAGTTGTTATCTTGATCTAACACCAAATTCTCGTGACTAATTAACAAGGAAATGTGGAGCAGCAAGAGGGGAGAATTAACAATCAGATCTTGGGAGTTCAAGGGTTAATAGTACTGAAGACATGGTAGATAAAATAAGAAAACCTTTATATTTTGCTTGGTAGTTAATTGTATATTTTACCATTCATAGTCATTTTAAATTGCCTATAATCTGAAAAAGAGGCCAAGCTTGGAAAAGCGGGCCAAGTTACAAATAATATCCTATTGTCGACTACGAAAGGCTAGACTTTGTAATGATAAAAAAGCTGTCAATTCTCGACAAATTAAATCTCAGTTCGTTGGATCTCTGCCTATCACTGTGATCAGAATAAATTCCTCACCACTTTCAATTATTTTCCTTAAATAATTTCAAATTCTGGACTTGGTATGCTTTTTTTCCACTTCAATACGTATTGAATATATTTCAGTTGAGACAAACGTCTTATTTCAACGAAAAATTGAGTTATTAAAATGATCACATGATAAGTCCTTTAGATTTTCAAATCGGACTGCTCCAAGTGATCCTCTTTAATTTTCATGAGCAACCACTCCAGTCACCTTGTAAGATGATACATGAGGGTTATGGAACTCATTTTAGCTGTTGGGAAGCCGTCCTTAAAAAACGAAGGAATAATTTTGGGATACACCAAGAAATTTATCCATAAAATTCCAATATTTACAAACGATAAGTTTGGAGAAAGTCACTACTCAACGCTTAACCACCTGCAACACTGCCACAGTTGCAGCAAATGACTGAATCTTGAAGGGTACTGTAAAAGTCAGTACAAGTTATAACTATCTCCTACATCATTTTAGCAAATCACCAAACATCACTAAGAGTTAATAAACCTCCACAGTCCTAACCCTTCCTTATATCGTTATCATAGATTGGGCTTTTCTCGATATCTTGTGCAGATATGTCAAACAGGGAAGAGTCTTGTTGAACGTCACTGTTGGCATAAATGTGGTTGTCCTCCGTGTTTTCTTCAGCAACGCTTTGGATATTGTCCTGGTTAACATATATTGCCTCTGGATTGGTAGGAACAGGCTCTTTGTTTTGATCATTATTGTTGTCTTGGATTGTAGCATAAATGTTATCAGTGCTGTCCTGATGACCTTGCCCAATGGTGTTGTGGCCACGAGGATCATCTCTTTCGGCATGTTGCTTGTCATCTGCTGTGCTATCATGAATGACAGCCAAATAGCCATTAGAATCTTCCTCGGAAAGTTTTGCATCAGGTTTAGATTTACCATTGGGATGACTCTCTTTGCCATTTCCTGGGACTTGCACGGAGGCGATAACGTCAGGAGAGCCTTTCCAGTCTTTCACCTTCTCAGAAGTGACGTAGTCATAGTTGTCTTCGTTCTTGTCATCCACACATGCACGCCCAACAGTCGATGTCTTGACACTTTCTGGTTGGAGCGGCAGGTTCTGTGTTAGAGTGGCAGACAACCTTTTGGCTTCAGAATTTCCATCGTGTTGGACAAGGAGGTACCCAAATCCATCTTCGTCATTGCTCTTTGACATTTCATTAAGTTCGATAGCTTTATCATTTTGAGAATTTTGGATTTCAGGAGCAGCTCTGGGTCCAAATGTTGCCAACCTGGGTGGCAACTTCGGGGTCAGAGACATACATTTCGGATCACCGGCCTTGCTCTGACCTCCGAAGCGCTCGCCAGTTTCCTTCCCCTCTTCTTGTTTTCTTATCTCTTTTGGCTGAGGGTCCATGGGCAAAAGATACTGGGACTCGTACGTGTCTTCATGAGGAGGAATCCCATTAGCTGCTAATTCTGAAGTCTCGGATGGTTTACCAGAAGCAAAAACTACAAGGTACTCATTGTCGTATTCATTTTGAGGCTCTTTGCCACCCAAGACTCCATTTGAAGATTTGAGGTCCAGGCTTAATTCGTGTTCCTTCCCTTGCCCCGAGTCCATTTCTGTCATTTCTTCACGGAGGTTGGCGTAGGTGTCAGCTTTGGCACCTTTTAAGCTCATGTACATTTTTTTCTTGACGTCCATCCCATTTTTCTCTGGTTTATCAGCTGGAGAATCTTTTATTGTTGGGCCATCAGCAATTATTTGAATATATGATTCTTCCTCTTTTTCGCTAGCCATTGTTTCGTTTCCTATGTTGATACCGTTAATGGATTTCCCGTCTTCTACTACTGTTGTAGAGCAGCCAAATGAAGTTTCTTTCGAGTCTCCATCCTCATTTACAATCCATGGTGTGTAGGCATTAGAAGTGGTAAGGCTCCTCCAAGGATTACTTCTGTCAGAATCTGAGGTGTCTTTGTTGGAGAACATCAGGGATTGTTCAGTAATCTCAAGTCTGCAGAAATCTTTCCATCTTCCAGAAACACTGTTTACGCGGGCACGCAATTTATTTAACCAAATATCAACACCGACGATGAGCACCAGCAGCAGCACTAACACACAAAGAAGACCCACTGACGCTATAAAAGCTACGTTTTCGTCGATCGGAACCCGAAAAAGAGTAAGGCATGTTGCCATCCTGAAAAGAAAAGGAGTGTAAAGAGTATTTCTTTTTTGTCAAATGTTAGTGTAAGAACCAAACAGGGGATAA